TATACAAAAAAATTTATAAAAATTTTTCATCTAAAAGCTATATATATTATATTAAATTATTAATCCCTTAAATTTTTAATTATAAATTCTTAATACCTCTAATTAAATTTTATCTAAAATTTTTTTAAAAAAATTACAAAATTAAATAAAAAACTCAGCCACTCCCCACCTATGTGGCCCCAAATTTCCCCCAATTTTGCCTAATCCTAGCAAACCCAGCTCACTCTCTTCCGTTCTTTTTCTTCATGCCTCTGGCCCTTGAGAATCTTCTTCTTCTCCCTTTTTCTTTCATCTCTCACTCTCTCTCGCATCTGCTCATTACTATCATTTGCTTAGTGCTTACAAAGTACCTTACTCATCTCTCTTAATTTCTCACAAAGATAGACATCATTTTACAAATATTTTGCAAAAAAAAAAAAAACATAATACAACTTTCTCTTCTTACCTTTTTTTATCTTGATTGTTTATTGAAAATTTAAAGTTGATTTAAATTTGGGTAATTTATGGATCGAATTAGGGTTGCTGCCAATTGATTAGTTGATAAATGAGTTAATATTGTTTTCTAACTTGTTTTTAGATTAATTTTGAAACTAAGGTTTTGAGTTTGTTGTTGCTTTTGATTTTACTTTTGCAGGTTGTTGCTTTATTCTTATTCTTGGTAGTGTTGAAATTTTATTTTTTTCTTATAACTTGAACTAGTGATCCGTGATGAGAAAAACGAGAATAGACGTAATTACGGTCCGTTATTACTGTTATTCCTCATTATGTTATTTTTTTTGTGATCGTTACATACTGTTTTGACTATGAATAAATTTTTTAACTGTATTTCCTCCAATAGCTATGACAAGTGGTACGGCCGCTATTCTACTATTAAATCACTATTTGTTTCCTAAGAGATGAGAAGCACCCATAGGTGAGGTAGTAAAAATAATTTTTACGGCGCAATAAATAACACATATAAAAAAGGGGGTATTGGAGATCTAATCAGAGACAATGTAGTGTTCTTGGTGCAATGTCCATGCCAATGTTGAATGTTGTGGATCCTGTGCTTATTGAGGGGATGGCTACTGCAAAGGCGATTGAATTCGCTGCTGACATGGGCTTTAATAAAATCATTCTAGAAGGAGATGCTTTAGGGATCATCAGACAGATATGGCAAACAGAAACAGACCCATCTTCCATTGGTAATTTGATTGAGGAGGTAAAGTTGATGCTAAGGAAATTTTATGGATCGACATGCTCCTATGGAAGAAGAGGCGCAAATGAAGCAGCCGACACCTTAGCAAAACTTGCAATAAGAAGTGAAGAGACTAGATATTGGATGGAAGAATGCCCAAAATGTATAGTTGTAGGAAAGGATTGTAATTATGCTTGAGCAATGAATCTTTAAATTAAAAAAAAAAAAATGAAGAATCGGATATAGAAGAAGAAGAAGGTTTTTTTTTTTTTTTTTTACTTTGTTTTAAAAAAAGACCATTTCAAGTCCTAATACATTGTTAGGACATAGAAGTACAAATTGAAAGAAAGTAGGCAGATAGAGAACTCAAATTGCCATTCTTTTACTTCAATTCATTCATAATTTTTTATGTTTCTCTCTCATCTTTTTATTGTTAATATAAAAAATAAATATCTTCAAAAAAATTTTAAAGAGAGGGATGAAAGAACTGTACGATTTTTTTGTGAAGAATTATTAAAATAAAAAATAATAAAAAATTTTACATCACTTAAATTAACAATAAAAATCACTTCATCTATTATTAATTAATTTTAAATTAGATATCCAATTATTCTAAAAAAATTTAGTAAGTATGAGAGAGTTGAGTACTAAAAATGAGGTAATTAGAAAATTTGAGACTTAAATAGAAATGGCCAAAAAAATATACAGAGGTGGGAGCGTTTGCTGCGTGCTTCCATCCAAATTGCAGGCCACGGTGAAGAGGCCAGAGCTGGCTCCCTATTCCTTGCTTTTTACGGCTATGCCTCGAACGATGATTTTAATAGACTTTTTCTTCCTGGAACCTTTGTCTGATTTGCTCATTCAACAACAATAATTATAATCTTTAATTCTCTGTCAAACGGTCCCCACTGCCGGTTCGTGCGCAGCCATAGTTTCACGATCACATCTACGTTTCCAACAACTATTTTCTCGCCGTCCAGGTAACACTGTGAATATTAATCCTTTTAAGGAAATAATTAAATTCAAATTTAATTAAAATAGTAAATTTTAAATATTTCACTTGTTTAATTTAAAATTTGTTTTTTTATAAATAATTTGTAAAGTTTAATATAAATTATTTTTAAAATCTATAATCTATCTTGATTGAGAAAACTTTCACCTTAAACATTTTTTACCAAAAATTTGATTTTTATTTATTATAGTACGGCTCTGTTCTGCTATATCTTTCCCATCTCTCAAATTGATTTAAGTATTTATGATTTTATTTTTAAAATATTTTTCATAAAAATAAAACTCTTGATTGATAAAAACGTTATTCTTTTACCAATTAAATTAATTTTCGTGAATATCATCTAATGATGTTATCGTAATAATTCTGTGATTTATTAATAAAACTATAAAATCTTAATTTTTCACAATTTCGAATAAAAATTTTTTTTTTTCTGATTTTGAGACCAAAATAACAATGAAGTTGGAGTTTTTCTTCTTTTCTCTTGAAGTCCATGACTCATGAGTCTTGAGATCTGCTTTCTCAGGTATGGCCGTTATTTTCTGTTCCTTTGATCTTTCTCGTGAGGCAAAGCTTATGAATGTAAATTTTGGCCTCTATTTCCAAATCAGAGTTTGCCCCACTACTACATGAACCTTTTTCTCTGATTTTTCTCATAAAAATAGGATAGAATTATTATTTAACCTCCAAAATTAAATAAAAAAATTTAATTGAAAAAAGAGATTTCTTTCATATTCAAGAAAAGAAAGAAAATTCAAAATTATATCCGGCAAAAATCCATGAATCTAACAACTTAATTAAGGGTTCATGTGTAAATTGATTTTTGAATTACATCACTTATAATTTGATATTTTAATAATATTTTTGACATATTTTATATCATTGATCAATAATATTAAATAAAATAATGATGTGATATATATATATTGATTAATTTATAAATGACATAATAAAATAAAAATTAAATTATTAATTTTTTTATAAATATCAAATCATAAAAAAATTTATATATTTTAAAAATGAAATTACATATTAATCTTTTAATTAATCGTGGTTGTTTCTCTTTTGATGGGAGGATCATAAATGATAAATCTGAAAAAAAAATTGTGCGCCAAACCGCTTTCTATGAGAAAAATTGACAACTACAGTACTATTTAGGTATCAACAAAAAGCTCATTTTTTTAGTTTCTTTATTATTTCTTTTTTTGGAATATTTAAATATAATTCTTTAGATATTGTTTGGTGAAACAAAAAGTACTACTAAAACAATTTCAACTATACCTATTACTACTTTATTTTTATTATTTACAGTTAACCCATTCTTTTCACACAATTAAACGTGTAAATGAAATTTGAGTCAAATTTAAAATTTTTATTTTATTTGTTTGACTCAATTACATTTTTATATATGATAACCTGAAATGCAAAGATATTTCTTTTAGTAGTAGTAGTATTATTTTTTTTATAAATAAAATATTAAAACTCAAGTTTAAGATCATTGTTCAAACCCCATGTCAATCTTACTGGTTAAATTCTGAAAACAATCGAATTCAAAACTTTCCAATACAGGTAAATTGTATGATTTATTTTATAATATTCAATTCTTTGGATAATCAAAACTCAATTCTCAATAATTTTAATTATAAAAAAATTATGCTTCATTGATAAAATATAATTCAGATATTAAAACTATGAAAATCACGCATGAATAAGTCATTAAAAAAAAAATCAATGCTCTGTTGACGACCAATGATTAAAATGCATGAAAAAAATTGTGTTCATAAGATTATATTTAATAAATTTAAATGCGAAATAATATAAAATTAATTTAAATTAATAAAAATTATATATAAATTTAACGAAATTAAAAAAAAATATTTTATAATAGATATGTTAATTAAATTATGATAAAATAATTTTTATATTCTATTGATGTTTGACAGAAAACAAAAAATAGCATAAATACATAAACATTACAAAAGCCATTAACAAAGCCAGTAAATTTGTATCCAAAGATTTTTGTCCGACCTAATCTCACCTTCTCCAGTGTGATTGACACACATGAGTAGACAAATGTTTTTGATGTTTTGGGAGTTTGGATTGACCTGTCTTTCCGTCTCATGCAGCAAAAATCCAAAAACATGAAACCGATAGAGAAAATGTGAAAAAAAATTGATCAGAAACAGAACAAAACAACAAAACCCACAAAGAAAAGAAAAGGAAAGAAAATCAGACGTGAGTTGGACGCCGTCGGACGAAGAAAAACAAGGAAAGCAACAACCCAAAGAAGTAGCAAAGGTCCGCCAAAATCTCCTATCTGTGCCAGACTTCTCCCCCACGTTCACCGAACCAGAATCTGCCACGTGGTATCATGTTTCCACCTTCACGGGGGGTTCTACACCAAAATTGTAGCAGAAGATTGAAATTATAAGGAGATGCCTTTACGCAGGCTACAACAGCTGCCGTTCCTTTCCCCGTTTCTCTCTCTATATAAATTTTTATTTTATTTTTTTACTTTGAAAAAACCCACAAAAACAAAATGAAAATTTTGCCTTTCAATATTATTATAAAACTCTCCAACCAAAAAAAAAATGGTAGTTTTTGTTTGCCGTCGTTAATAATAATCATATTGCTGTTACTGTTTGTATATCTCTCTTTTGGGCTAACCTAGTATTAATTTAGGATGTATATCAATCAAAAAAGGTCTTTTTGTAAGCATTTAATATTTTTTTATTTGAGTTAAATAATAAAAATTACAGTTAAATGTGGATTAGAAATTAATATAAAATTTTGCCAATTAAATATTATTTTTTTATTTTTAATTATAATTGAGATTTTTAATTCTAAAATTTTGCCAATTATTAGTTTGACAAGACTTAAATGCTTAGTGTTTCGTAAATGAGTAGATAAATGCTTAATGTTTCGTATATGAGTAGATTTTGATTGAGATTTAACAATGATTAAAAATTTTAAAAAGAAAACTCTCTTTTCTCTCTAAAAAACTCCGCTCTCTCTCTCTCTCTCTCTCTGAAATTTTCTCTGTCTTCTGTTTTCATGGTGATACCATAGACAGGTGAATTGATCTGCTAAGAAAGAGAAGAAGAGAGATGGGGTCTTGTGCGTCTAGACCTGAAGGCTGTGTTGGCCCAAGGTTAAGGTCTTCTAAGAAGAAAAACCGTAAAAGGAGGAAAAGCTTCAAGAAAAGAGTGCCTTCTCGGCTATCCGAGGCATCCTCCGATAAGCTTGATAGGTCTGCTCCACCTGACCATCACTCTTCCTTCATCCACCCAACTTTTCAAGGTCGTTTCCTCCTTCTCTCTGTGTTGTCAAAAGTTGGTTTTTTTTTTTTTATTTTATTTACTATTTTGTTTTTGCAATGTGCTTATGGATTTCCATTTTTGCAATGTGATAAGGTTAATTTCCTTGATGAGTTCCGGAGGCTGGCTTGTTTTTGGTAGTTGCATGGAAGGCTTTGGGTGGTTAAGACTTAAGATTCTGATTCTGGTTTCTTTGTTATCAGGAAATGCATGCCTGTATTATAGGTTAAAGACTTATGTGTTAGTAGCTATTTCTTTCTACGTGGGTTAAATTTTTGTTGACAAATGTAATGGTGGGGACCCACTCTTTCTTTATCTGATCAATTGGCATCTGTTTTTTCTTCAGAGCATATAGTCCAACACTGGGATTTCGATACAGGTTGTTGCTCTTTATGTTTGTTGATAATCAGAGGGAATGCAAATTGATAAAGGAGAATTTTGACCGTAACCAAAATTTGGAATTAGAATTCTGGTGGAATTTACTTCCTTGCTTAAAAGGATATCAATAAAAAATCAGAATTAGAAAATTTCACTTTTAATTTTTCTTGACTCTAGAAGTAAGTAGTTTGATCCATTAAAGATCTTAATTTGCCTCTCTATTAAGTTTGAGCAAATTGGGTTTAAATCTGTAGTAGATACATATCAACTGGTCGGGGTTTGATTTGAGTTGGAGCTAGCTGTTGCAGTGCTCTCTTTGGTGGTCTCAAGACTACAATGGTTGTTGCTAAGATTATTATTTCAATTTGTTCTAAGCAATGAGTTAGTGTTGAACAGTTTTCTTCTATGGCCAAAGTTGGTACGGAGATTTGATAGAGCTAATTCTTTTTTTATGTCCCTTGTGCGAGTGGTAAATAATAGGCCTTTTGATAAACTATAGGCTGATCAAGACAATTAGTGTTATTATTTGTATTTTATATTGATCTGTTGAGTTAACAGCATTGGTGTTATGGATTGTAGTTTGTGAGGTAAGATTTAAATATTAGTGTTAGAGGCTTAATGCATAGTCTGCTATACATTCACTTGAAGAGGTAGAAACTGCAAGGAGTTCAAGATGGGAATTGTTGACCATGGAATAAGGAAAAAAGCTAAAGATTGGAGGCCTTTTATTTATTTATTTATTTATTTTCCCCTCTCCTCCACCTTCTCTTCTTCAATTCTTTGCTTCAATGCAGATTCTATATCATTCCATTGTTTCTCTCATGGTATGTTGCATCATTCACTGTGGTTTTGTCCATAAGAAATATATCATACCCTATCTCTTTTTCTTTTTTTTTTTTGTTTATATGTTAGCAGACCTGTTTTCTAGACTTTGGAAGATGGCTATGCATATATGATCTGCATTTTTTGGTGCCTGCTTTATCTTTATATTAGGTCATCAATTTTGCAATTTGGAATCGTACTTGTTCAACCATAATGGATATTGATATACATTTGCTTGATTTTCTTATTGATAAGAGCTAGGAACAACGGTGTAAATTAATCTAAATGTATTAAAATTACATCTGGGTATCTGAATTGCTTGTTAAATTAGTTAAAATTTAAAAGAATGTTTCCTTTAATTGTTACATATACTACTGTGGTTCTTCATTGTTCACTGTCTGTGATTTATCTTTTTTCTTCCAGTAGATTTTCTTTTTATCTTTTATTCTTAATATTAGTAAGTTCTGCCTTTTGGATATATAACTTACTTCCAATCTATTTACCTTTTTTTTCTCCTGGTTCTCATTTTTATGTATTACTATATAAAATTTGCCATTTGCTAAGTTGGGACATGGGAGCCAAAAGTGTGCTCTAGATCAACCCTCCCTGGACCCTAATTTGATGTGATCATGATAGGGTAATGACCCTGTTTTTATATATATGGGGACTATAATTATCCCTGTTTTATGATTTTATTTGTTTACTTTGTCATGTTTAAGTATGGGCATTGTTACAGCATTTCAGTTAGGATGGTTTTTATTTTAGTTACAGCAGAATAGCTAGTGTATTAAGTTATGTATAAATATGGGCATTATTACAGTATTTCAGCTAGAACATTATTATTGTAGTTATAGCAGAATAGCTGATGTTTTTATGATGCCACCTTGGTAGGAAGCGAGGAGTTGTGGTTTGATCCAGTTGCAGCATTCGACTCAGACTGTGATGAGGAGTTTGAAAGTGTTCAGGAGGGTATGATACTTGGTGATGTTACTCAGAAATCTCTCATTTAAACTAACTTTCTTTTTACTCGAAGAATATATGAAATATTTACCAGTGACTACACATGCATCCATATGTGCAGATATGCTATCTTTAAATGGTCTTGAAGGTGTATTTGTCTCCAGTATTTCTTCTCTAAGAGATGCTAATTATGGAGAACATTCTTCTTTCATTGGACAGATGCAGAAACCAGAGGATTTATCAACTGGTAATTCTGCACGAAACTCTGCTAGTGAGGTCACTAGAAATTCAAATAGTCAGGTCTTGAATTTTGAGGATGTTAGTCCCCAACCAAAATCTGATGGGCCCTCAAATGAAGCAAAGCAGCATGTGTTCCTTGATGATATTGCCTCCTCTGTGGATGAAGCTTCTGGAAAAGAGGACGGATTGTTGGATAACTGTGGCATTCTTCCTAGCAATTGTTTACCTTGTCTTGCATCTACTGTTCCATCAGTTGAAAAGAGAAGATTGTTCAGCTCTAGCCCACCAAGTGCAAGGAAAAAGACTGCCTTAAAACTTCCATTTAAATTGAGAGAAGGACATCCCAATGCTGCCCTATGTGAGTATCTATGCTACTTATCCATTGAACATAAATTTGTTGAACTGTCTTATTATGGGACTGCTGGATCTATGTGAAGTGGTTTTCTGTGAAGCTGGGATGAGTTTCAATGACGTATCAGCTCTGATTAGATTTATCTCTTCTGATTTGAGTAAAGATATTACAATATTTTTCTCATGGAATCATCTAAAACTGGAATACATGGATACAGAAGCAAAAGCAGTCTGCTTCTGTGATGGCTATTTACTAATTAATGCATGTTAACAATTGGAGTCTTTTTTAAAGCAGCAATGTTGCATAAGAATTTAAAAAAAAAAAAAAGAACAGGAGTTTTTCTGTTAGAATTTTTTTTAATTTATTAATTTTCTTTCTTAACTCGGTTTCGTGGATACAGAAGCAAAAGCAGTCTGCTTCTGTGATGGCTATTTACTAATTAATGCATGTTAACAATTGGAGTCTTTTTTAAAGCAGCAATGTTGCATAAGAATTTAAAAAAAAAAAAAAAAGGACAGGAGTTTTTCTGTTAGAATTTTTTTAATTTATTATTTTTTTTCTAAACTCAGTTTCGTCAAAGATGCTTCTTCAGAGACCAAAAGCAGGGTCTCAAGTACCATTTTGCCGTATAGAAAAGAAAATGTTTGATTATTGGTCTCATATTGAACCTGGTACTTTCAAGGTTCGAGCAGAAAATTATTCTAGGTATGTAAAACTGTCCATGATTCCTTACTTTAACATATATGTGAATATTATTTTTATGGAAAATTATTGATTTTATGAAGTAATAGAATGTTTGAGACTTTTTTAAGTTTTTATATTTAGACCTCACATGGATCTCTTATTACCAAGACTCTTTCTCACTTAGCTAGGTAACTACTTGTTTTAATTGACAGGGATAAGAAGAAGGATTTTGCACCTAACCATGCTGCATATTATCCTTTTGGCGTTGATGTATTCTTATCTCCACGAAAAATAGATCACATAGCTAGATTTGTTGAACTCCCTGTTATTAGCCATTCTTGGAAACTACCATCTATCCTTGTTGTAAATGTTCAGGTATTTTTTGTACAATTGCTCTTTGTGAATGGATAAGCGTTTGTTGCTTTTTGTTCTATTTTCCTTGGGATGGAAGTGCAGTGTAATGGTTCTTCTTGTCCTCCCTATGCCCTCAACGATCACTTTAGTCACTTCTTAGTGCGACTAATGACTTCCATCACATGACAAAATCATTTTGATTCTTGAGCCTTCCTCAACTTTTTTTCCTCTCCCATCTCCTTCTAAAATGGTGCTAAGTTTGCCGTGTCAATATTTTTTTCTTCTATAATATTTGCATTGTTGCTTGTTTGATTTAACATTATAAATCTTGTTTTTTCATGAGGTGGACTCTCCATCCCACATGAAAAAAAAAAAAAAAATCTTAAGCATTTATAGAACTTCTTTTTCCATAGAGTTTAATGCTAACCTTTAGTGACTATGCAGATTCCCTTGTATCCTGCTGCACTTTTTCAGAGTGAAACTGATGGGGAAGGGATGAGTTTTGTTCTGTACTTTAAGCTTTCCGAAATTTACATGAAGGAGCTGCCACCTAACTTTCAAGAAAACATCAGGGTAAGATGAATAGTTAGTAAATTTAAATGTAATATTTTCCTTTCTAATTGTCAACATATTTTCTTAGGTGGCTATACTGCTACAACCTAATCCTAGTAGAGATGCAATAATAGTATCCAGTCATAATGTTTCGATTACTACCTTCATTATCATGCCATAAGATTTTAGCTTTTACCAATTTCAATTTGCCAATGCCACTTAGTTATTTGAAGCATTTGTCTTATTGTCTCTGCTCCTTTATGTTTTTATATTTAAGTGATCTTTTCATGTATTCATTCCCCACCTCATTATCTGATCTACTGCCAAGTTTACTTTATTGAATCTATATTTCTTTTTAAAGCAGAGGTTAATCAATGATGAAGTTGAAAAGGTTAAAGGATTCCCTGTAGATACAATTGTCCCATTTCGAGAAAGGTTGAAAATATTAGGCCGTGTTGCAAATGTGAAAGATCTTCATATGAGTGCAGCAGAGAGGAAGCTTATGCAGGCATATAACGAAAAGCCGTTTCTTTCACGTCCACAGCATGAGTTCTACTTTGTAAGTCTGTAATTTATTGTTTTCTTATGAAAGTATGTTGCATTATTCCAAATATAGGTTATATGAAGTTAGGATGCAACTAATAATATATTCATTCATAAATACAATTTACTATCTGTGATTTTGTGGCTAGTGCTGACAGATAGCTGTGGCATCTCCATCTAAGCCATCTGATACGTTACAGCTCAAGATCATCAATACCAGCAATAAGCATTTTATTTGTATTCCCAGGTTGATAACATGTGATATTGGATTGACTGTTTGGAATCCCCATTAACATTGAGCGAGAGTGCTCTGTTCACATAGCTTCTGAAATTATTCAACCATGTCTCTGCATGCCCCCTTTGTGTTTCAAACTAACTTGTCTCTTTTCCTTTCTGGTCAAATGGTTGGGCGGCACCATCAAGTGTATCTCTCAACCATCTCTTAACAACCCCCAGCCCACCCCCACAAGTCAAAGTATATTAATAAAAGTGGGAAGCGGAAGGGTTAATTGTCGATTGGCCTAAGAGGTTATAACTACTGCACTGTAAAATAAATTTCTAGCTACTAATATCAAATGACCTGCCATTGGAAGCTAGTTTGAGTAGCACTGGAAATGTAAAAATACATTGTTTTATTATGATTTCCTTCTTAGGCTCACAAGTGACTCCAGTAAATTTTGCAGGGAGAAAATTATTTTGAGATTGATATAGATATGCACAGATTCAGTTACATCTCTAGGAAAGGTTTTGATACATTCCTAGATAGGCTAAAGCTCTGCATCTTAGACGTTGGCCTCACAATTCAGGCAAGTTTCAATCCCTCCTGCCAACTTTCTCAATGATCCCTCTCCCTCCAAACAAGGTTGTTGGATTTTTGGGATAGTGGACTGGCTTTATAATATCATTTACTTACACCTGATGTTTGCCTTCTAAAACAGGGTAATAAACCTGAAGAGTTGCCAGAGCAGATCTTATGTTGTATACGGTTAAGTGGCATTGACTATATGAATTACCACCAACTGGGCTTAGTTCAAGAATCCTTTGATGTAAGTGCTGAAATGTTGTAATGCTTATAGCTATTATTTAATAGAAGGCTAATTTCAGAGAAATTTCATTGCTTTCCTTGTTGGTACTAGAATTTCTGAGCTCAATAGCCTCTAGCCAGAGATAAGTGGACTTCTTCATCTTCTTATCTCCCTACTCAGGTGACATTTAGAGCTTACAGTCACTGCTGCCGTTGCTGCTCAATGTGTTTGGTAACAAATGCAATTCAAGAGGTTTTTGGTCAAAACGTGTCAGCTAGGATGGCAATAATCGTGATGAGATATGCACAAATAATTTGTACTAACAGAGAGATATGGTCATGAATTTATTTAAAAAAAAAAAAAAACAGAAAGGAAAGAAAAGAGACCAAAAGTACGCCCTTGAGATCCTTTTATCTTTCTAGTCCCATGATGGAAGATTTTTAGAAGTATTATTTTCATTTTAAGGGGTTCAAGTTCTGCGTTTTAACTTCATGTGAAACACAATGTAAAATCTATTGATTGTAGCATCAATATTTACAGATCAGAAGCATGTGTAGACATAAACGTTTGTAAATAATAGAACATTTGGGGGAAGCCATTACATGTCTTCCATGATTGCTGAATTTTCTGTTTGAGATGGAAAAACTATTTCAAGACTTGCAGGGAGAAAGGGGCTTCCCACATAAACCTTTGTTTCCACTGAAACAACTCTGAGGAAAGCCGCTAAGAGGTTCTCCAGCAGGAATTTCCCCCACCAAAAGATTGTCTGATAAATCTAAGTCCTTCAGGTTTTTGAGGTTCAAAAACTCAACTGGTATCTTACCAGTAAAATGGTTTCTCTGTAGCTTCAGTGTCTCTAAAAGGCTAAGGTTTGCTATGGCGTTTACCAAGCTGAAACCCAACTTATTGTAGCTCAGATCCAAACTCTGCATTGCCTTCAATTCCCCCACCGAAGTTGGTAATTGACCCTCGAGCAAATTATGTGATAAATTAAGATACTTGATTCTTTGCTGTGTTCCTACACCAATTTGCTCAATTCCACTAGTGCAGCTGTTATCAGATAAGTCGATATATGTCAGTGAACCATCCGGAAAGCTGTTTCCTATCTTGAAAACTTGATCCAGGGAGCCTGTTATCTTGTTTGAGTGGAGATCTAGCACTCCTAACTCCTGGAACTCTGCAACTGAATCTGGAATATTTGAGATGAGGTAGTTCCTTGAAAGATTTAAGGAATAGAGTTGAGTGAGTCTTCCGATCCATGTTGGTATGACACCAGTGAGACGATTAACAGATAAGTCCAGTTCCTGTATTGGACTTGGAGTTGATCGCAAGAAGTCAGGTATTTGGCCTTTGATTCCACAACCTGCCAAATACATTCGGGAAAGAGATGGCATTTCTGCTAGCCATGTTGGAATGGAGGTTAGATTTAAAAGGTTGAATGAGAGATCCAGTGTTTGCAAATTTTTGAGGGCAGACATTTCATCAGGCAATGGTCCATGAATTAAATTATGAGAAATGCTCAAGAGTATGAGATGAGAGAGTAAACCCATTGACATTGGTATTTGTCCAGATAACTTGTTCCCGCTAAGATATAACTCTGTCAAAGCTTCTAGATTACCCAAACCAGGAGGAATTGATCCCTCAAGCTTGTTATTTGCTAGAGAAACCCTTTGGAGGGAGACCAGATATCTGAAATTAGGTGGAATTCTTCCACTTAGGTGGTTGTTTTGCAGCCTTAAAAATCCAAGAGAAGCCATTTGACCGAAATTTGATGGAAATGGTATCTCTCCCTCAAGATGATTAGTATCCAAGTACATGACTGAAATGGATGTCAGATTGTTTACTGAATCTGGAATCCTCCCGCTCAAAAAATTTTCTGAAAGATCAATCTCTTTCAAAAGATGCAACTCACCAATATTTCTTGGTATATGACCACTCAGGGAATTGCAATGAAGATCCAAATGCATGAGATTTGTCAAGTTCGTGAATGAATCAGGAATGCTACCGGTAAATCTATTTGAATGTAGAAGTAAAGCATTAAGATTTTTAAGACCACCAAGGCTAGAAGGAAGAAACCCTGATAATTTATTCTCATGCAGGTGAAGTTCTTCAAGTTTTAGAAGTTTACCAATGCTTTCTGGTACTGACCCTCTTAGCTTGTTTCCATAAAGATAGAGCTTTCTGAGGTTCTGGAGATGACCAATTATTGGTGGAATTCTTCCAGAAAGGCCTACGAGTCCTCCAAGATCAAGGACTTCCAGAGAGGTGAGGAGCGTGATTGATGGGGACAGCCAACCTTCCATCTGAGATTGAAAGACGAAGTCATCCGTGGAAATGAATCCTGGAAGACGAATTTCCGTTACTCGACCAGTTTCGTTGTTGCACGAAACACCTTCCCATTCGCAACAACTATGACCAACCCACTTTGCTAGCCGACCTGAAGTGTCCCAGTGGATTCCACCCCTGAAACTGGTGAGTCCTTTCAGGTCACCAGGGTCGCATCCTTCAAGAATGCTTCTCTTTCTCCCCGATGCTGTTGTCATAATAGTCAATACTAGGAGATGCCATAGCATTTGACAACCCATTTTGTCTGGACAACTGATTCTCTTGGTCTAGCTAGAATATGCTAACTATCACTGGTTTTTTCTCACTATTATCAGTGTGATTGAACAGGAAAGGAAAGTGAATTGGTTGTGAATTAACGGGAAAGTAGGCAACAAACATGAGAAAACCAGAGTTGGTCCAGGACATTGATTTTGTATTTTCTTTTGTCCTCTCTTTTTCAGGACAGTTCGTTATGCTAAAAAGCATGTGTCTAGATCATGATGTCCTTGTTTAAAGTTAAAGGAGTCAACAGTGCTTAAAGATTTGCTAAATAAACTATTCTGATAAATGACAGAAATTTAATACTCAATTAGTTTTCAAATGATTAAAAAAAACTTTGTTCTGTTCTTTATTTTCAAAATATCAAAAAGATATTTCTTAAGAATCTGAACTGTCGTTGTAGCAGGCAGCTGCAAACTAAGCTTTCTATTTACACTCCCAGAATATATCCACTGACATCCAGTTCACCAAATACTTGATGCAAAGGTCATCATCACATGGTGAAATGATTTTTTGTGGTAATAGTGGCAGTTTGGAAATTGTTGGTACCTTCCGTCCTTCTTAGATTGTTCTTCATTGGAAGCACGTTTGAGTTATGACAACTTCCATGTTCCTAGATTACTGGGTGGTCCTCTTTACTTCGAAAAACTTCTATTGGGAGACATCAAAGGTTCCTGCGCTTGTTTATGCATTCCCAGGAAAGACCTCTTTCTACAGTTTGGAATTTCAAGGATCTTGAACTTCAATTTTTTTAAAGCAATTAAGCAGGTGAATAAGATTTATAAATATTAAAAGGATATTTGAACTCGCAAGACAAATTTAGCCTCTATGTATCTAAATGATACAGGAGCTAGAAATGCCATGCCTTACTGATTCCCAGTTCAAGAAACAATTTTTGATAGTTAGATTGGAGACGAAGATTGTACTTAAAAGACTATCTCTGGAAAATGTACTATATCATGACAGGAAAATGATAGAAAAAAATACAAAAAATGATATGAGTTAAAATTTTAATAAAAATTATATATGAATTTAATAAAAATTAAAAAAATATTTTATATATTTTATATCAATATAAATTATGATATATAATTTTTATATAAAATATATATAAATATATAAATTATTAATTTTTATATGATATAAATACATAAATTATTATATTTATATATATAATAAATATATAAATACAGTAGATCCGAAAAGTTCGTAGTAACAGGAGTTAAATAGATGCGGATCCATTCCTCTCTAGTTTATCGTAATTCCATTGGTTGTTGTAAGAAATTATGACAGAAATTAAACAAAGACAGACAGGGAATTCCTGTCCATCATCCATTGGCCACATGACAAGTTGATTTTCCATTTTTTTTTTTACCACCAGGAAAAAACAAAATGCTATTCTTCATGCTAATGTTACATAACGGTCGATCAAAAGGGGAAAGGGGAATTGTACAGAGCAGGAAAGCTAGAAGAATACGCAGATTGAAACGAGCAAAAGGACAACGTTCAGACTCAAACTTGGAATTTGTGAAGTCTGTTCTTTGCAGAAGATATCGATAACTAAATAGTTACTGGAGGAATGCTAGCAACAGTCAATTCAATTATTTCGTTTCAAAACTCCATCTAAGTCATTTATTTTTTAAGTTCAAAATCGGTGATTTGTAATTATAAGCTGTCTGACTTCGTCTAGACAGTAAAGTAAAGTCCTCAAATAAAAGAAAAAAGATGCTTTGACTCTTCCATGCTACTACTTATAACACCTTAAGATAAAAATCTGATTGTGGTTGTTAAAATTTAAATACTATTATACTATGAATTAGAGAGATTCAAACGGTTTTTTTATTAAAATTTTAAAACAATATTATATTAGTATCTTTTATTTATATTATTTTTGTGTCATATTATAATATTATATTTTAAATTATCATATCAACTTATATATGATATAAAATAAAAAATAAATAAAATTTAAGAGTATATTACTTATAATTTTCTTTTAATTTTATAATTATCTAATTAAACTTTACTTGCGTGTTACCGCACCACCGATCCCAAGCTCGGATAAAACAAAGAGGGTTATGATAAGATGGCAATTAACATAAAGTACAATCAAACCATAACGAGAAATCAAAATAAAAATTTTTTTGTTGTTATTTATAATTATCTAATTACAAAAAATACAGAGATCCACTATTTATATATAGATTTGTTCAAGATTCGAGCTATCATTCAATCTGATAAATTTGATCAAAATTAGATTGGATTTTAGATAAAGTTTTTCAAATTCAATATTAGCTCGATCAAAATATTATTTAATTAATAAAAATAAAATTTTTATTTAATTTTTGTTTTAAAATATAATTTAAAATAAAATATATTAAATTTTAGGTTCCTTTGAGGAAATAATACTAAGACTACTCCATCCAGGGATTATGTGTATTTGGAGACAAATAGTAGAACTTTTCCCACTTCAATTCATCTACCCTCTTGCATATGTTAAAAAAGGCTGACTGTAGTTTGATGAAAAGGAAAAAGAGTTTTTTTTTTTTTCTTTTAAAGAAGTACTCGGATGATCGAGTGTACTGTTCAGATCCGAGAACATGTCCATTAAATAAAAATATATGAAGATGTCACTAATATTTTTTATCTAGATGTTATTGATTATCTATATGAATCTATTATTTTTAAAATTATATTAAACTTAAACAAGGTATCTGATCTATATCAATATAATTAAGTTCGAAAATTAGTTACATAAAAAAAAAGATTTTAACATATCCACAACTCTCAAAATTGGTATCAAATTAGTTATATGTTATCTTTTTTAAATCTTAATCAAAAATAATTTTTTTATTAATTTAGATAGTCAAAAAATTAAAAAAAAAAAAGCAAACACTTAAAAAAAAACAAAGAAAATGAAAAAAAAAAAGTAGGGAAGTGTCACTTGGACACTAGAGATGAGGCAAAACTCTTAAATCCATCTCCAACCTAATCCCAATAATAATAATAAAAAAACCCTTGATCCAATCTTGAGTTTTTTAAAAAAGCACTTATGTTGAATTTGTATAAATCAAAATCAATCAAATATGAATTATTTTATCATTTTTATTGTTGTTGATTTTTTTACAAAATTTATCTAATTAAAAAATAAAAAAACAAAAAACAAGATTAAATTAAAAATAAAATAAGAAAAAAAAATAGAGAATGGAGGAAGGGAAAGGGCACACCGTATCTTTTTTCTATTCTCTACGAAATTAAGTATTGGGTTAAATATAAAAATAGTTCTTATATTATATATTTTTGTTAATTTGATACCTACAAAAATAAAATTATCAGTTTATTATTCAAATTTTCATTTCGTCATCACTTTGGTACTTCAGATTAATGTCGTTATTTCACTTGTTGATGTGACATGAACATCCAATAAGATGTTAATACGTATAAAAAAAGTTTAGTTAGTGCCATAATAAAAAAATTAAAAAATATATGAGATATTTTTAGAAATTATAAAATTAAAAAATTATGAAAACTTAAAAATTTTTAAAATCTCAAAATTTTAATAAAAATCCAAAATTTTCAAAATTTTCTTAAAATTAAAAAAAAATAAAAAAAATTTCCTCAAATTAAAAAAGGATTCACAAAAACTTGGCAAAATTTGAAATTAAAAAAAATCTAAAATTTGATTGAAAAAAGTTGGAAAATAGAAAAAAATCTAAAAATTTATATTAAAAAAGGTTCTTAAAAATTTTATAACATTTTGAAAATTTAAAAAATTTCAAAAAAAATGAAATATTTTAAAAAATTAAAAATGGAATAAAAAATCCAACAAATCTAAAATAATTCATAAAATATATAAAAAATTAAAATTGTATGATTAAAAAAAATTTTTTTTAAAATTTTTAAATTTTTTAAAAAGTTTTTAGATTTTTTCAAAAAAAAAAAAGATTTTTTTTTTAATTTTTTAAGTTTTTGTATTTTTTTAAAATTTCAAAATATATTGAATGTTTTGGATTTTTTATTAAAATTTTGATTTTTCTAAGTTTTTATAATTTTTTAAAAAATTTTCATTTTAAAAATTTTTTAAAATATTTATATTTTTTAAATTTTTTAAATTTTTTGAATTTTTGTAAATTTTTCTTTTAATACTTATGTGACAATTGATAATATGGTGCTAACTAGATTTTTTTTATACATATAAATATTTTATTGGATGTTCATGCTAAGTTAACAAGTTGATTGGTGACATTAGTCTCAAGTACTAAAATAGATATAGAATGAAAGTTGGAATACTAAATTGATAATTTTATTTTTTGAGATACAAATTGATAAAAAATATATAATACATGAGCTATTTTTATATTTAATTCTTAAGTATTAAATGATCAATAAAACTTGTGAGACCATAGATATTTTCTTTCACCATAAAAAATTATTTTACTCTTACATTTCAAATAATTTACACGAAACATCAAGCCACTCTTTTATAGGTATAGGATTAATGATTCTTAAGATAAAAAAGGCATTTATTTTGTATGATTATTTGATTTGTTAATTTATAATGTTAATAATAATAATAAAAAAAACGAATAGAAAATAATAACTTGGCTCGTGGATAAACAACCAATCCCCGATAGAAGAAAAGGTTCCATTTCCGTTAGGCCTATTAACAATTTATAATTGCTGGAATCTAGAAGCTCAAGTTCCATTAGGCTGGTTGACAATTTACGAAACAGAGTGCGCATTCCTACGTAAAAGAAAACATTCATACATACATATATATATATATATATATATATATATATAAAGTTGGAACAAGAATTTTAAAACCTACTATATTTTATTTTATGGCAGTGTGGAAAATTTTCCAATGGCAAGTTAGTTGCTTTATCATATGGGTAGAGCAAATGTTAATGGCGGAAGTCTGATTACTTCCATGGGATACGACTGAAGATATAGATTTTAAAGTTACAGATGATGTAGG